AGGAAAAAAAAAAAGGACTGGAGATGTGGTTTAGTTGTGGAGGGCTTGTTTAGTATGCATGAGATCATGGATTCAATGCCCAGTACTGCAATAAAAAAAAAAAAAATCTCCCTGGAAGAGATAACATTCAGCCTTCCCAAACCTTCACACCTCAGTTGGAATTAGCATTCCTCAATTTGATTTCCCTTTTATTATACATGGTGCTGGGGATGGAACCTACAGGGTCACACATACTAAGCACATGAGATATAACCTCAGCCCTTTTAATTCCATTTCAGAGAGCTAATTTTGACAGAAGAGAGAACAAGGACATATTCAGCCAGGAGCAGACTGTGGGACACTATTTACTGACTAATACAATGTGGGCAAGAGGCAGAGAGCTGACTTTAGGTTCTGCTTCCAAATTGCTCACTTGAAGGAATCAGCTACTGCCCACTTAAAGGAATTCTTTTTTTTTTTTCTACTGGGGATTGAACCCAGGGCATGCTTTATCCCTGTGCTACATACTCAGCCCTTTTAATTTTCTTTACTTTGAGACAGGGTTTCACTAAGCTGCTTAGGGCTTCCATAAGTTGCTGAGACTGGCTTCAAACTTTCAATCCCCCTGCCTTAACCTCCTGAATCACTGGGATTACCTGTGTGCATCACCATGCATTTAAAACAATTCTAAAGAGAGGGCTAGGGTAGCTCAGTGGTAGAGCTCTTGTCTGGTATACACAAGACATGTATTCCAGGGTTCCATCACAAGTAAGAGAGAGGAGCTAAAAAAAAAATCAATATTTTGTGCCCACTATTACCCAAGCATTTTATCAATTGTCCAGTCATCTTCCCTGAAGTGGTATTTCCATCATAGCTATCATCTCATGTTGCTGCATGAACTAGTTAGGGGAATGAAAAAAGAAGAGATGTGTCAAGAAAATTTCCCTATGTGTCTGGTCCTACACCACCCCTATTGATACCCCAAAATCTAACTGAAAATGTAACTTGATAATTCAAAGTAGCTCCAGTTGGAAGGGAACATGTGGCTCTTCCAAATGACCCTAAATTTAGTGACACTCTTATAGACCACACACCTTCTGTTACATGTACATAAAAGCATCATTTTGAACATGTGGTTTTATCATATTGACTCTAATCCCACAAATGCACAACCCAAAGGTCCCAGTTCCCTGGGTCTGTGTTCCATATAAATGTGGCTGGACCTAGGAAGGATATTTGAGTCTGCCTTCTGATTGCTCATTCTGTTCCTGTTCCCAGCCAGATGCTGGCTTCCCTGCGTAAGTGTGTGTGCATGGATGTGTGTGTGTGTGTTCATGTACACATGCACACACATACATGCATCTGTCTGTTTCTGTCTGCATTTGTCAGTAGGAAGAAGGGAGTTGAAGGGCAGATCAGGAAGGAGGAAACTCCAATTCTTCATTTGGGTGATTTGAAACAGCAATTTGCAAATTTTTTCTACAAATGACCAGCCAGTAAATAATTTAGGCTTTGCCAGCCATATGGGTGGTCTGTGTTGCAACTATACAACTGTGCCATTATAACATGAAAGCAGCTACAAATGGTATGAAAATGGATGAACATGGATATGTTCCTATAAAACTTTATAGAGAGAAGTGGTAAGCTGGATTTGGCCTGAGGACTGTAGTTTGCCAAATCCTGGTTTAAACTACTTGGGAAGGTTGAATATCATGAATATATTGGCCATTGTTTGAATCTATGCTGAGGTAAGGGTCTTGCAAGTTCACAGATCATAATTGTGAACACCGCTCATTACTACTCAGATGTAGGAATGAAGTCACACTAGGATTCAGGGGATTGGAGTGGGCTGATCTCAGGACATGCTCAGGTAGTGCTTCTTTGAAACAGAAATCCTGATAGGAGTTTGTTTCCTCCTCTTTTTCTTCTACTTCCTAAAAGTATAATGAATTTTTGTTTGGGGAGGAAGGTAAGAGAAAGGAAAAAGATAGGGAGGTTTCTGATTAATTGGATTCTGCTTATCTGTGGCCTGTCACCTGCATGTTAGCAGCAGAGCAAACTTGCTCACTAGTTCTACTGAGGGCTTAGCTTTGCCAGGGTCAACAGACTTGCTCCTCAGTATCTAAGGTTCTCAAGTGGCTAGATCTTCTTCCTCTCCTCCTCCTCCTCCTCCTCTTCCTCCTCCTCCTCCTCCTCCTCCTCCTCCTTCTCCTCCTCCTCCTTCTCCTCCTCCTCCTTCTCCTCCTATTTCTTTTTGTATCAGGGAGTTGAACCCAGGGGCACTTAACCACTGAGCCACATTCCCAGCCCATTTTATTTTTTGAGACAGGGTCTTGATAAGTTGCTTAGGGCCTCACTAAGCTACTGAGGTTACCTATGAACCTGCAATCCTGCTGCCTCAGCATCCTGAGACATGGGGCTTACAGGTGTGCCTGGCTCGATCATATTCTTGTAGGTCTAGAATATGCCTGGAGTCTTGATGTTTCTGAAGGGGTTTCTGTAATATGTTGGTAGGGTGCTCTGGCCCAAGGGATATGAATCTACTCTAGGCCTCAAATGGCAAATAGGTTTTGTTTTATGTGCCAATCCTAGCTGATTTTGTAGGCAGTTGCTATCTTGTGAGAACAGATAGCAGTTTTGAGGCCACATCATGGTTGAATAGGAAAGTCAGTGTGCTTGATAAATGAGGCCTGCTATGGGCAGAAAAGGAAGGAGGGGAAGTGTAAGAGTATCAGCCCTGCTCTAGGCCCGGGGATCTGGAAAGGATATCTAAGAAACAAAGACTATTTTCTGAGTCCTATCTGCTAAATGCCTGGCTGGTCAGAGACATTCCTTCAAACATCTGAGCCAATCAAATGACTCATTGGGAAGGCGGCCTGTTAAAGGCCCATGCCACCTATGGTACAATCCAGAGGATATTCCTGCCCAGGGTGTCTTGTGAGGAGAGATGTTTCTAATCTTATTATATACACCAACATACTGGAGGAATTCATATGTGAGATGGTTTTGAGCACATGCATTGTGCCTAGCCTAGTTGAGATTCAGAGACTCCACTCCAGTGGCAGTAATGTGGTCCCATTTCTCTCCTAGAGGACCATGCTGCTCTGATGATAATCTCCACTCCAGTTTCATTTTTTTTTGTGACAACCTATCCTTCACACTGCAACCAGAACCTGCTTGCTTGATTTAGTTTTCATTTTGAAGCATTTTATTTATTTTCAATAAATTAATACAGGCAAATGATCTAAATGATGCAAAAGGATATAAATAAAAAGTAAGTTTTCTCCTGCAATCCTGCCTTGTCTAACCATTGATAACAGATTCTTACGTGTTCTGTTAGGAGTTGCCAGCCAAAAATGCAAGCAAATTTATACATATTCTTATCAGAAATGGTATCCTATCACACAAATCATCAGCATTTGGCTTTTTCTCTAGATTTGTACATCTTAGAGATACATTCAATAATAACATAAGGAAACTCACCATTTTATAGCTTCATACTTTTCCTTTGTTTAAATTGCCATAAATTATTTAATCAATCTCCTATTGATAGATATTTAGATCTCCCACAGTTTTTTTGCTAATGGATTATCTTTATACTTGTGGAAGTATATTTCTATGATAAATTCCTAAAACTGGAATGGCAATATCAAATGATTAATTATTTATAAATTTTATACATATTGCAAATTTTCCTTTCATCCAGAAGTTTCAGTCTACATACCTGCATCACAGTGTGTACACACACACACACACACACACACACACACACACACACATATATTTTGTGCCGGGATTGAACTCAGGGGCACTCAACCACTGAGCCACATCCCCAGCCCTATTTTGTAACTTTTTAGAGACAGGGTCTCAATGAGTTGCTTAGCACCTTGCTTTTGCTGAGGCTGGCTTTGAACTCATGATCTTCCTGCCTAGGCCTCTGAGTTGCTGGGATTACAGGTGTGTGCCATTGCACCTGGCTCCTTGCTAAAATAGTTCCTGGTTAATTATTATGGGACTTTTTTAAGTGAAAGAATCTTATTTAAACTGTATACTCATATAGCACACCTATAACTTTGCATTTACTTTTAGGGAATCCACAACCTTCCTAAAGAGTAGTGGGGTTTGGGTTGGTTTTTGTGCAGTGAGATGGTTGAACCCAGGGCCTCGTGCATACTGAGCTACATCCCCAGCCCTAGGAGTAGTGTTTTTTTTTAAGTGTGACCTAAGGAAAACCTCTATTAGAACCTCTTAGAAATCTTGTTTTAAAATGCAGAACTCCTGAGCCCCTCCCTAGAGCTCTGCAAATGGATGGGTCCATGAAATCTGCATTTAAACACACTCAGATAATTCCAACACATACTAAAGAATCCCACAGACTAGGGGACATCCATAGATCCAGGTTTTAAAACCCCTGGTTTAAGTATCAACCTTCATCTGAAATTGAATTATTTAATTTTTTAAATTTTTGTACCATGAATTGAACCTATGGGCTTAACCACTGAGCCACATCCCCAGCCCTTTTTATTTTTGAGACAGGGACTCACTAAGTTGCTTAGGGCCTCACTAAGTTGCTGAGGCTGTCTGAACTTGCAATCCTCCTGCCTCAGCCTCCTGAGCTGCTGGGATTACAGGCATGCATCACCACTCTGGGCTCATTTTAAAATTTTATGGTGCTACGGGTTGAACTCAGGGTCTCACACATGCTAGGCAAGCACTCTACCCCTGAGCTACACCTCCAGTCCCTACAGCATTTGAATTCTGATAGGAAAATTTGAAAGAGGAAAAGCTCAGAGCTCAAGACTCAAATGAGACCGTGAAGATGGAGTGATTAATGGGGAAAGTGACATTTGTGCATAGGTCTCTCACATTATTCCATGTGGTCAATCAATTATATCCAAACCCACACAAGCGTGTGTGTGTGTGTGTGTGTGTGTGTGTGTGTGTGTGTGTGTGTGTGAAGGAGAAGAATCACATGTAGCTGTCTTTACCTTTTCTTTTTTTTTTTTGTGCATAGGGCTCAATGTTTAATCTCTCCAGTTTTTTATACCTTAGGATCATCACAGAGGAAAGGAGGTATATAAACACCACTTGTCTCACCTCTCACTATTTCGAAACATGAGACTGAGGCATATTTCCATTTCCAGTATTATTGAGGTTCCCTTGTCTACTTCTTCTGTTTAAGACAAAAAAACAAACTGTACCACAAACCAGTGCTACAAATTGCAAATAAATATGCAGTAAGGGGCAAGGCGTACACAGACAGGCTTTAGTTGGGAGGGGGTGTAACAAAGAGACTCCCACAACTGTCCTTCTCACACCCCAAGGCAATGCTTCTTCTATCCCTTAGCTCCACTGCAGGCTGAGCAGAGAGAGGTCAGAAGGGTGAACTGGAAGAATGGAGAATTCAGGTCTCTACATTGCTGCTTTTTCTTAGAAGTATAGGGAACTAGTTGGTCAGACTGAACCCAAATCCTTCACCTTGAGACTGGGGAAAAGACTTGGAACAGCCCACTGTTCTCCATGACAGCACTAGACCACGATTCCCCTGTCCTTGATAACATGCGTGGGCAAGCAGTGGGGAAGCTGATGGACCACTTAATTGTGTCTGGGTTCCCCTCATCCCAGGGCTCTAGAAATCACATTTTCAGCTAACAGTGGGAAAGAGTTAGATACAGCAAATAAATATTACTTCAATATAGCACCAAATAAATTAGGTAACACAGGTAGAGATAGGGAAGAAGTTGAAAGGGAGTCTTTGCTTCTCTGCTCTAAGGCCAGAGAAGAGTGAAAGGGATAGGAAAGGTAGCAGGGGTATAAAAAGAACCTTTTGAATCTAAAGGAAAACTCTAGATTCAGCCCAAGAACTAGGGAGGGGTCTAGGCCCCATCTCGAACTCCTGCCAGAAAAATGCCCAGGCCAAGGAATTCTTGGTCTACGGGGAGGCTGGAGAAGACAGCAGGAGTCGAGGGAGTCAGGCTGGGAAGCCATGTCCTTGAGCCTCACCTCAGGCTCCTCTCCCCCTCACATTGCTTCTTCAACATACTGCTTCTCTCAGTTCTGGGAACATCAGAGTTTGAAGATTTCATCCTCCTGGTCCCGCAGTGTCTGGGTCCGAGAGGTCCGGGTCAGTGGCACAGGACCTAGGACTGCTCGTTGCTGCATCCGAGGGGAGCTCTGATGGAGACCTGCATCTTCCCCAAGTATCCTGCTTTCCCCTGTTCTCAGCTTTTGGGCAGCAGCCTTCTTTGACAGGCTGATCTGTGAATCAAGCTTCTTAAGGAAATCAGAGGCAGAGAGGTCATGGAGGGGAGTAGGGGGTTCCTGGCCAGCTTTAGGGAGAGCTTCACCACTGGCACGGCCTGAACCTGTCTCTTGTTTCTTCCTCTCAGCTGAGTGTAGCTGAACTTCATCCTTACGTGGGTCTACCTCTTCCTCTCCATCTTTCTCTTCCTCTGAATCCAAACCATTGAACAGGTCTCTGGGCTCTCTCAGGATGGGGATGTAGAGAGTTTTCTTCAGGAAGATGGAGTCATTAGTATAAAGGCGGTTTGCACGCTTGATCTGTTCCATCTATCTGTCCCGAGTATTCAGTCCTGGAGTCTCAACACCCTCGGACTTTCATCCCCTCGCCGCACCTCGCTGCGGTGACCTCCTACCTTTTCTGATATGTATATCTAAATAGGCTTTTCAATTTCTTTTCCTTTCATGCACTTTGATTAAAATAAAAGCAAAGCATGTCATCACTGGAGAAGGAAATAGTGCTGTTGAAGGGCAAGATAGCTCATTTAGTAGAACCCTGAATCTTGATGAAATAGGCAGTTTATAAAGGTGATTTGATTAGCATTTTATTCTTTCACAGAAGAGTGTTCTAAGGGGAAACAGTCATTTGGTTATTAAGACCTCAGCTCTTGCTCTCTGGGTGCCACAGGGCCATTCTTTCAGGTTGGTGACCCTTTCACCTCATCTAGGCAGCCTCCCCCAGGAACCCACTGGCCTCCTTTGTTGATCAACGTCTACTAATTATTTCTTCCTGTGAAATGCACAGTGTGGTCAGACTACTCTCTTATCATAGTGTCCGTTAATTGTGTGGCATCTTCCTGGACAAAAGCACCAAAACACAATTTACAGAGACTGTCAGGGGTCCCTGAAGTTCATAATGCTCATTTATGACACCTCTTGGGCATTACTTTCTAAACTGTAGTCACAGACTGGTGCATATCTGAGTCACTCAGGGAGCATGTTCGAAATCCCAGTCCCTAACCTTTATTCCAGACCTAGTGAACCAGAATCCCTGGGGTTTCTGCCTGGACAAGCTTCCCAGGGGACCCTGATGCACAGTAAAATTTAGGACATTACACTTGGTCTGAGTTAAGAACCTGCTAGAAGATTCCTACCTGTGTCAATGGATGGGATCCTGCAGTTCCCATAGGAGTCCTTCCAAGGGAAACAGTGAGCTCAAGGGAGTACAGGACGTTTGAATCCATCATGTGGGCCTAGAATAGCTCCAAGAAATGAGGCTGACATTGATTTTATTTTATCCCAGATCAGTCCATATCAGGGAGCATGTTGGGAGGTCAGGCAGACTTGGGAGATGAGAAAATACTATGGTCCAGTAGGTTGTCTTTATAGGACAGTCTCTCTGAGCCCTCTAAATCTAAACATAGGCTTAACAACTGATGGTGGACAGCCTGCTGCTGCTCAGGGGGGAAGGAGGCTCAGGTGAAGCAAAGCCTGGTTAATAACAGGCCATCTGGCCGTGGCAGCCTGCCTAGGTTTTGGCAGCCTGAGAGTGTGAGGGAGACAGGCACCCTTCCCCAGCTTCATTACCCAGCCACCGCTCCCCAAAGGCTTCCTCAAAGCCTAGTCAAAGAAAGCTTTCTAAGGTGCTGACTCTCCAGTACAGAATCCCCTCTGCCCTGCAATGTTTCAGTTAATAAGCAATCTTTGAAGAGCTGGAAGCACAGCCCTCTTGGAGGGCTGCATATGTTCTTCCTGTCAGATGGCTGCAGGAGGCACAGCAGGGGAATGGAGGCAGGGAGGTGTAAACTCCTGGGTCTTGGTGGCAAGAGAGGCATGCCATGTTTTTTTTTTTTTTTTTCTCATGGAACAATAGTGTACTGCAAAGTGGTTACCTTTGTGGTAGGGTCTACCTTGGTGCCCAAGAACTCAACTCAGCTGTCAGTTCCCAAAACAACCACTGGGCCCCAGTGGAATCCACAAGGATAAGTAAAAAAGTGTAGGAGACTGCTTTCCAAATGAGACCTCCAATATAAATTAGCAGTTCTACCTTCGGCAGCAGTACATATTCCCTACCTGATATGGTTTAGGTGCAGGGATAACTTTCTCCAGTTCTCCAATCCAGAACATAGCACCATGGTACCTTGGGGGTTCTTTGAATTAGGGCATACATTCTTATTCATATCCCCCACTTCAGTGCTGGCAAGCACTCTACCCTGGGACATACATGTTCCACAAGAGTCAGGGTGAAAATTGGCTGTTATCTCTTAGGGTTAAGGGGATCTTAAATATTCTAGTAGTGTGTGCCCCTCCAAAGGGCAACAGTAGATAATTATATGTACACTATATCTAGGGAATTAAAATTTCATGGGATTTAGACAGAAAAATGCCTTAAAATTCTCTTTGATAGATCAATAATGAAAAGAAAAAGTCGGGAAACACTGGGTTAGGGGAAGAGTAAAGAACCTCCAACTCGAAGGCCAAATTCAATCCTCAGGCTGCTTATTTCCAGCTTGGCCTCCTGTTGCTCTGGTCATTGCTGTAGTAAGCCAGAAAATAACATTTTCCTAGGCAGATTGCCCTAGCTGACTCATTTAGAGGTTGAAATGAGTAGGTTGAAGGATAAAGAGCAGTTCAAGATTTGTGAAAGGTGACTGAGCTAATAACCCTATTAGAATTTCAAAGCCTGAAGCCTAAAGTCTAAATTAATTTCGGAAAGCAGCTTATCTTGCTAACCTTCACCTTCAGATTCTCAGAATTTATAGTGTCTCTTTGCTTCTGTCTCAATGACATGAGGGTACTTTAAATCAGGGAAGGATTCTGAATGATCTTTGCTAGGGTTGGTGATGCCAGATAACAAAAGCACTCCTCACCATCCAGTGAAGGCATTGATCACTTCATGGAATATTCTTTATTCCGGATACCTTAACTGAACCCTAGCTTCCTGAGCAGACCTTTTTAGTGGAGGTAGCTCATTCCCTCACAACCTACCAGCTTCCAAGTCATGGGGAGATGTAAGTATCCATGTTCCTGTGTTGTTCTTCCAGACCTCTGTCCTTCCACTTTCACATTGAAAACTTCACTACTTTGAAATGCCTTCTGGCCAGAAATGCTACATTTTCCCCTTGTGCATTCAGAGAATAGGCAGCTGCTTTTCTTCCTTCTACTGCATCCCAAATCCTGCCATCTTTCCTGGATTTCTACTCAGCACTTTGGAAATCCTACTTAAAATTTCCTCAAAGAAAGCAAAGTGATATCTTAAAAACATAAAAGATCATGTCACCCATCTCTTCAAAACTCTTCAATGGCTTCCCATCACTCTTGGGAAAAAGTCTATATTATCCACCATGTGTAGATAACAAGGCCTTGCATGATCTGGCTCCCACATACCTCTAGTCACTCCCCTAGTGTTCTTGGCTTCTCTAACTCTGCTCTGGCTAGGACAGCCTGTGAGTCCCTAAAGTCATCAAACTCATTCCCTCCACTAGCAATTTTTTTTTCTCCAACTTTTGCATGGATAGCTACCTCTCTTCCTCCTAGTTCACAGATAAGATGTCCCTTCAGAGGCATTTCTTGGCTGCCCTACATAAAAGTAGCCTCCTACTTCTATGTCACCCTGCCACATTCCTTAACATCGTCCTATTTTATTATTGTCACAGCATTTATTATAATAAACAATACTTCTGTTTACTTGTTCATTGTCTCTTCAAACTTGAATGTGCTAAGAAAAAAAAGGCTTTTGTCTGTCTTGTTCACTGCTGTTTTCCTAGCACCTATAACAGTGTCCCCCACTTAGCAAGTATGGCAGTCAGTCTCTGGATGGCTCTCAATGATCTCTGCCTCCTTTTTTTTTTCATGCCCTTGTATAATTCCCTTTCTTTGAGTGTGGGCTAGACTCCAGCTTGCTTTTAGCAAACAGAATGCAGCAAAAGTGATGGATGTCATTTTGGAGATTAAGTTACAAAAAGACTGTGGCTTCCATCTTGAATATCCTCTTTAATATTTTTGCTCACTCACTCTGGAGGAAGCCAACTGCTTGTTGTGAGTTACCCCATGGAAAGGCCTACATAGCAAGGCAAGGATATCCATGGTCAACTACCAAAGAAGCCCTGAGACTTGTCATCAGCTGTGTGTGTGTGCTTGCGTGGATTGGGAGTGGATCCTCTTTCAGTCAAGCTTTGAAATGTAGCCCTGGCCAATAACTTGACTGCTGCCTTGTGAGACATGCTGAGACAGAGGCAACCAACTGAGCCATACTCAGATTCCAGTGAGTATTCCTGTGAGGTAACAAATATTCATCATGTTAGGCCTCTGTATTTTATTGCACAGAAATAAAGTATTAATATAGCAGATCCTCAAAAATAACCTTTGAATTAGGGAATTATTGGCGACCTTGACATCCTTGTGATCTTCTCATCATTGGTGACCCTGCTTTTCATCTCATTTCACCCACCTACTCTCTTGGTCACACCCTTATCCTTGTTGTTGGCCAGAATTGCTCCACCTTTAAGATCATACACTAGCACATTTCATCTGTTACTAAACCCTTTGGTCCTTCCAGTTCACTCAGTTATTAAAAAAGTACTCTCAGGATTAATAGCTGGGAAGGGAGAGGATGAAAACAATTGGGAAGAAGTTGGGCTGTAATGCAGGCCCAATGACAACTTTGGCTAAACCTGCAGTGATGCTCTAAAGCTATTGTACCCCGTAAAAGTCAATCTGAGCTGGGCCAAAATGGCTAGGCCTTTGTACTTCTGTTTCAGTCATTGGATGTGGGCCATTAGGAAAGGTATGTGATTAGGTAAGGCATCTGTCTGTATAAATAAGGCAATTCCTGAAGGGCGTGGCAACACATCTGAAGGTAGACTCTGACAGTGTTTCTAGCAACCAAGGAAATGAGTTCTTCACTGCAAAGCAATTAGATGACACACCACAGTATTCACTATACCTTAGTCCATTATCCTCCTTCCCGTATTCATTTATTTCCTTATTCAGCACATATACCATTGTTTGTCACTCCAACTATGCTCAAGTACTCCCAGATCTTTGCTTCATTGCTTTACCTGCCCAGGCAAACCCTCCAACTTTAATTGACTTTAAGTAATCTTATCAATTCCTGCACCTGGGCTACTGAATATACAGAAAATCAAATAACTGCATATTGGTGTTTCCATAATTTGTGGCCTAATAACTCAACTGAAACCTCAATGCAGCCTATCAGTGCTAAAGTTTCATTTTCACCATTCACTCACTCAAAACTCCAGCTATATCAAACTTTTTCCACATTCTTCCAAGTGTTCAACTCCTTGTCTCTCCCTTCTATACCCCAAAAC